CCGAGGAGACAGCGCGCACCTGCCGTCCCCCCCAGTGACTGAGCTCAGCAACAGACCCCCCGGACGTCACTCAAAACCACAGTGACGGCGCCCAGACTCACAGAGTCATCAGAGACAGGATCGTGTTCCACAGGATTACAGCTAGATTTGATTCCTAATAAAATTCTTCTACAGCAGTTAAATTACAGATGTGTTTGGAGGACTGTAAAAAAAAAAAAAAAAAAGTGATTACTTTTGATTTTGAGACTATGAATACTCATTGTCAAGAAGTCTTTCTGGGAGATTTCTGGGCACAGATTATAAATACACCTATTTCACCCAACTTCAAATACCATATAATCATGAGAGTGAGGGGAAATTCTGATAAAATTGCATAGTGCAGCTTAAAAAACCCTTTTAAAAAACCCTTTTCCACTCATCACGCCAACTGATTCTGACAAAAATCTATCCTTTCGCTTCACTCGGAAGCTATTTGTGTTGCGCAGCGACACTCAGCTCCAACTTCAAAAGCAGCCACAGCCTTTTTTGTTCAACATCCTGATTGATAACTCTGTGACGAGACATGTCAGTGTGTACTGTAGCTGCAAAAGGGAACCGAGATACTTGTCGGCCTGACCACTTCCTTGTTTGCTCCCCTCGCCTCGCCACTCCACGGAGAGTGTCAATTTGTGTGTGTACACATGCTAATGGGTGCAGAGGCGTTTTTAAGTGCTCTGGATCATTTTGCTGCTGGTGACCAATGCAACTCATGTCACTGAATGTAAATCAACCTGTAAATCATCTATGTGTGTATAGTTTATCTGATATAAACTGTGAAACAAGGGTAGACGTTAACATGTCTGCGAAGGTTCATTTCCCTGTAGCGCAGCAACCGTGGATGTTATTACATAGTTACAGAAAAACTTTAGGATAAAACTAATTTGATGTTTCAGCGCTACCAGGTAACTCACGACTAACAGATAAGGCCACTTTCTATCCACCGAGCACTTGTCGTGACAGCAAAATAGACAAATTACCTGCAGTCAAAATACCATAAATAAGTGTCAAACAAACTGCTAGGATCGCAGCCAATTTTTTCACGGGTGAGTTGAAGATGCTTGCAAGGTCACCAGACAAACAGAGCAGATAAGGCAGCGCCTCCGTCTGAAGCCTGTCTGAACAAAGAGAAACCGAAAATGTCGTATTTATCTGGCTGGGTTTTTCTTCTTTCTGCGGGCCTCGTTAATACAATCTAATGCTGTTTTGATTCAAACAACAGATAAAGTATGAACCGAGAGTCACGTATGCACATAGTGGTGCTCACAGTATCATGTGGTGACATAAGACCCAGAACCTTTATGGCTGCAACCCATGACTTAACCAGCTGTTTATTTTCTTGATTATTCTATACATTGTTGCCATTTTATTTTAATAATCGTAACACTTTACTATCATAAACAACTAGGAAATCCATTTTAGCAGAGGTAGTACACTTATTTAAGTATGCTTTTTCTTACTTATGTAGAATTACAGATACTTGTGATACCTGTGGCTCTGGTAAATGTAGAAGTACTTGATTCAACTTCTCTACTCAAGTAAAAGTGAAAAAGGTACAGGCTCTGAAATGTGCTTAAAGTATAAAAGTAAAAAGCACTCTGTTGCTTTCTCTGAAGGACATTTTCTACCGGCTGTTTCTGTGCAAACTTACCTGAAACGTCAAACAGGGTGATGTCTCCCTCTCTTGTCTCTTTTATCATTACGTCGTTACATCTTTTTTACGCCGTTATCTGCATTTTTGTTGTGTTACGTAAATAATTCCCCTCAAATGCATTAATACCAATGTAGCAAGCCTTTTTTTGAAATGTAAAGAGTGGAAAAATGTAGGGGGTAAAAGTTAAAATAAATACTCAAAGTGCAGATATAAAAAAACTACCTGAGTACAGTCCTGAAGCATTTGTACTTTGTTACGCCCCACCTCTGTATTTGAGAACCTGGAACAATTATTTGCAGTTTGGCTTGAAAAAAAAAAACCCACTGTGTACTTTCCTGTTCAAATCCAAAAGTATATTGGATTTAAAACAGAAATGCCTTTAAAAATAATGCAAATAATGTAATAAAGAATGTTCAAAAAAAATAAATAATGTAAATAATGTAAAAATATTCATAAATCATTACCTTTACAGCTCAAATGTGCTCAAACAGGTAATTTGGCATCAGCCAAAAACCACTAATGTCATTTTTACCACCAGCATAAGAATCTCTGAAATGCATGTCATGAAAAACTGGATATCCTGATCACAGCTATAACATTACAGATATGACTCGCATCTTAGTCATCCTCTCAGATTTTCGGATAAAGGTGCGTGTGTGTGTGGAGGGGTAATAAGAGAAGGGAAAGAAGCAGGAGGTGCCAGTGAGATCTTTGTTGGCTGAGTATAAGGTTTCAGCCAGGTGGTTGAGGGGCGACGGGGGGGCGCGATGTCTCATCCCGACCCCCGCACTCGTCACCCTCCCTCGTAACCATGTCACTCCTTTCAACTCATCGCTGCCAGGATGAGACTGACATTGTAAACAGCGGACAGTGAAATGAAGTGACGTTTTTTAACCTCACACGCCAACACGGGCGGAGCAATTTGGGGGTTCAGCGTCTCGCTCAAGGTCGTTTTGGCTCAAACCCACAACTCTACTGCTTTGCTGTTAAAAATGACAACCTGGAACGTACGCATGTTTTTTTTTTTTACTGCGTCCTCCTTTTTGCTGAATTGTCTTTTAAGGACATTTTTCACTGAGTGTTGTCAAGTAAAACATACAGTAAATCTGATAATCCCACGCTGAAGGCTTAAAAGTCCGAGAGCTCAGATCATCTGTCTGCTTTTGTTACTGTGTCTTTAATCACCTGATGTGCTTGGATGGACTTTGTTTGCAAGGCTTTTTGCTTTTGGGTTCAGGCAATACAAGACAGGACTAATGACGACACGGCACTATACGACTAATAACAGTACTATCTTGTTATTTTTGAGATATTTAAAGGAATTCAATGCTATGTTTTAAGCCCAAAAGCCTGAAATTTGATTCAAAGTTGTATACAGACCCTGATTTTGAGCTTTTTTTTTTAAATCTGAAGATATTAATTATTAAGTGAGTGTTTTCAAAATGGCTGCACAGAACAGACTTTATGCAGTGTACAGTATCTACAACCGTGTACAGACTAAAAACCCTGCAGCAACACACAGACATGGCTTTTCCCTTAACATCAGCTAACCTGACCTGTGAAAATGCACTTGTTTCGCTCCCGGTCACGCGACAGAGTCCTTCTTTCATAAAACTAACTGATAGACAGCCACTAATTTGATGAAAGGAGCATCCATCATGTTATGAAACCCTGCTCCGCCCGCCACCGGAGCCCAGAGAAGAAGCTTGGAAATCCTCTGTAATGAGCGGCGGCCAAAAACAACTGGGGCTGACACGACTCTTTGCCCTTATAAAGACAAAGGGTGAAAACGGGGCAGGGAGGGGAGGCAATCTGTAACACACTCCTATACAGTGCAGCACATACAGGCATCAGTGATACATGCACAGACACACATTAGCCTTAATGTGGGCTGGGGGCCAGTTCTAACACTGCAGCCCTCTGGGGTCTTTAGTCGGGACGCATACAGCATCCAGCTCTTTACTGGGGGGCCACCGCAGGGAAGCAGGGTATAACCATTTCTCACACCAGCACTTCTCAGACAGTTAAAAATGACTCCTGCCAACACACACACACACAC